TAGCGATTCCACGAGAGGCACAGCCCCCCGTGAGTCCCATTGGGCCATCAGAGACCCAAATGTGGTGGGTGGAACATTCTGTAGAATCAAGTCCCTCTGTCAAGTGCTTCCTCAGTTGTGTGTTGAACTGGCCCTAGAATCTGTTGGAGCTCATAGAATAAAGAACTGGTGGACAAAATCACTCCTTTGTTCCAAATACACACCCCACTTTCCTAGGGTAAGCATCTGGGTTACACCCGTCCTTGGGGTGGCTGACCAATTCCACACCCATCCTGCTACGGGATCCATGGTGCAGACCAAGGCTTCACAGTGGCTGCAAGTATTTCCCTATCAGGGTATAGAACTGCGACAGATGCCCACTGGTCTTCACAGCTGCTTGTGAGGCTGCTGCAGGCCATACCAAAACCGTTCTAGATTACTTGGATCTCCAGCCCAAAGGTGAGAGCTAACTCTACTACCTACAGGAACTGAATTTGATAAATGGCTCTCTTGATGACCTAAAAGACCTTTTTAGCTGCTTCAGTCCAGTCCCACTGTGCCCCTTTGCTCACTGGGGCATAGATGGGATAAACCAATTAGGCCCAAATGGGGAATAAAAACTTGCCAATACTCAATAAGACCACATGGGTCTGCAATTGCCTAACTGTTGTTAGTTGTGGATATGCCTGGATTTTATCAATAACAGCTTCGAGCACAACCTTTGTCTTACGTAACCAAGTCACACCCAAGAACTTGACTGACAAGCCAGGTCCTTGCACCTTGGCAGTGTTTCCTGCCCAAACATTTCCAAGTGGGTCACTAAAGTTGGGGCCACAAGCTCTTACTCTGCAAGAGAGTCAGAAGTCAACAACACATCAGCAATACAATGAAACATGTATGGTGGACAGCTGAGTCCACAGGCTACCAGAGCATGCCATATGGTCGGGCTATGTCAATAACCTTGTGGCAACACTTGAGTGTCCTTTATTGGCCTTCCTGGGTAAAGGCAAACTGCTCTTGACTTTATGAGTTCAGAGCAATAGAAAGGAAAGCATTAGCAATATTCAGCACATAACACTATCTCCCCAATTGAAAAGTCACTGGTCCCTGAGATCATGCACTGAGGGAACCCCTGTATTCAGAGAAGGAGCCACTTCATTCAGTTCTCAAGAATCCACAGTTATTCTCCAAGGACCAGCAAATTTCTTCACCCATCACACTGGAGAGGTAGAGGCTCTACAGTGGTCATATTATGCCCACCTTCTCCCATTCCAGGAGAGTAGCTCCAAGTTCTGCATGTCCCCTTGGGAAGTGGTAATTCTTCACCACCACGGTCCTCCAGGGTTGTGGTGAGACCTGGGGTGGGTGTTTGTCACATCCTATCAAAACCTCCTTCACAATTTGCACACAGAGATGGAACTGTCTCATTGTGGTCTGCAGTCATAGTCTTTGAAACACATCTGCACCCAAGATGAACTCTGGGATAGGAGACATGTGCACCATGTACCCAGTGGTAAGGATATTGTGGTATGAACTGATAAATACAATCAATAGGAGTGTAAGTTATAGGTTATAGATTAGTTTAAAAATATAGATCATAGATAGAAGATTTTGATAAATGAGATAAGATATTTATAAAGCAAGAACTGTCATAGGCAGCCTAAGACTCTATTTTGCTGCCTTCTATTAAAACAAACAAATTAACAAAAAAACTGTTACAAGAGCTATTTCTGAGAAACTAAAATGAAAGCTGTTTTCTTATAAAAATTGTCTTTCTGTATTTTGAACCCCACAGATTGTACTCTACTCAGGATGCAGCGGTGGTGTGGTGAGCTACATCCTGGGTGTGAATGCCCTTGTGGGTCTACATGGCTTTGAAGTAGATTCTTGCCCACTGACCCCCGCCCAATTCAAGATACAACTGTCTAGCACCTGCTTGAACCCAGGACTGTGGTCAACTGAACTACAAAGCTAATGCTTTTTCAGCTTCTGTTTATCGCTTGCTTGCTGACTGGAAAATTCCAGTCCTTCCCAGAGCCCACAGGTCCCACTTATTAATGTTTTAATTTCTGTGATTGGCTAGCTTACACTTACATGACGATAAGCAAGTCACTGAGGTGTGGTTTTTGTCCTTATATTCTCCTTGGATGGACCAGGAGGCTGCTGTCCTTCCTCAGAGCTTGAGTCTTTGCAGTGGGTGACAGTCAGGTAAATAAAGTTAAATAAAGGTAAATAAAGGCAGGTAAATAAATCTCTCTTTGGGTTTGAATTTGGACTTAGAGTGCTTTCTGAGGCATGTCCCCATAACAAGGACACTGACACCCTCTCCCTTTCTACTTCCTAATTGGGGACCTTTCTCTCGGGAGGTCTTATGGGTTGCACTCCAGGGGCTGCAAACCGTCTTGGAGAGCTGTTTTGTACTGGGCAGTCAGGGAGAGGGGGAGCTGGGGACTATGGATGCCTGCCCAGCTGGTGTCCCAAGCTGGGAGTTGCCACAACTAAAGATGGCAACGCTGTCCCAAAATGGAGGCAGCTGCTTTCAGTGATGGAGTGTCGGTCCCGTGTGTGTGGGAGGGGCAGTGACATGGGGTGATGTGGTCAAAGATGCAGCTCAAACCCAGTGCAGGCGGGTGTCGGCCGGGCTGTCCCGGGCCTGCCTGGGCTCTGGGCTCTACTTGCTGCTTCTTGATTTGTCTGTCCCACAACACAACTAGACACCCCGATGATAACAGTGTCACATTTTAAACATGTAAACAATGTAGAATGATCATGTCAGAAAAATGTGGTACCCATGACTTCAAACATTCATCATTACGTTTTGGGAGGGAATATTGAAGATCCACTCTTCTAGGTGTTTTAAAGTACATAGCAAATGACTATAACAGTGGTCCACTTTATGCTGTGAATAGAGCCCTTACTGCTCAGCAGCTGCAACTTATTTTTAAAACAAATCTCTTTCTCTCCCTCTCTCCCTGCTCCTCCCGAATCTCTTCCCTCCCTAATCTCTGGGGAAACAGGATGACCTTTCTCCCCCATCCCAGACAGAGTTCTCTGTCCTCCAGCACACACCCACCACAGGGACAGGTAATTCAGACTTGGGGATGGCACCAGAAGATCTCAGAAATGACTGGCTCCCACATTAACAAGTGAATTACAACTCCAGACAGAAGACATGGAAAGTAGCCTTTCAACCACTTCTTTAAAAAGCCCCATGTTTCCTTTGACGGGCAGAATCACAGCCGCTGAGACAAGCATCTCCTGTGCTTCTCTTTTGCAAACAAAGCAATAAAACTTCTTTTTCCCGTTTTCTCAAGACCGCATCCTCATTATTGGATTAGCATTGGGGACAAGAATGGAGCTTTCAGTAACAGGTTGAGGTCTTTAATTCCCACCATGTTTCATCATGAATGAAGGTAGCCAGGTTAGGGGAGGGAGAAGGATGAGATTTTAGAATAGGCCCAAAGTTTCAATTTGGGATGATGAAAATCTCTGGAGATGGGTGTCCCTGATGGTGCCACAACAATGGGAATGTAATCAACCCCACAGTCATTGGACAAAAGCATGGAAAAATTGTGATATTTAGTGTATACTTATCCATAACCACTAATGGAAATAAGATGCAGACAGGACTTTCAAAACATAAACCAGACACAGAAAGACTAGTGTCATATATTCTCTCCGATATGAGGAAACTATAATAGTGACGACCCTGAACTGGAAGCCCGTTTGCACAGGGGGAGAAGGAAGAAGGATGAAAGGCAGGGACCAAGCTACCCTGTATGCAGGTATGCAAATGTGGCACTGGACCCCATGAAGTGTGCGAGTCCTAGGTGTTAATAACAGACACCGGAGACGTGGACAGCGTCCTGCTGAGGACAGGAAGGGGTCACTTTCTTTATTTTTCTCTCATTTTTTAAATTTGGTGTGTGTGTGTGTGTGTGTGTGTTTGTGTGTGTGTGTTTGTGTGTGTGTGATATTAGGCTGTATTTTGTGATACATGCATGGAGTATAACTTATTCTAATTAAGATCCCATTCTTGTGGTTGAACATCATGTGGAGTTACCTTGGTCGTGTATTCATATATGAACATAGAAAAATTATGTCTGATTCATTCCACTGTCTTTCCTGTTCCCATCCATCTTCCCTTCCCTTCATTCCCCTTTGTCTAATCCAATGAACATTTTTTTTTTTGGCAGTGCTAAGGATTGGACCCACGGTCTTGTGCATGCAAAGCAAGCACTCTATCAACTGAGCTATAGCCCCAGCCTCTAATACAAGAATTTCTATTCTTCCCTCCATCCCCACATTATGTGTTAGCATCTGCATATCAGAGAGAACATTTGACCTTTTTGAGGGGGGGATTGACCTATTTCCCTTAGCATGACAGTCTTCAGTTCCACCCATTTACTGGCAAATACCATAATCTCATTTTCTTTATGGTTGAGTAATATATGTATATGTGTGTGTATATATATATATATATATTTTTTCACATTTTCTTTATCCATTCATCTATTTAAGAGCTTAGCTATTGTGAATGAATGCTATAAACATTGATGTAGCTGCCTCACTCTAGTATGCTGATTTTAAGTCCTTTGGTTTTAAACTGAGGACTGGGATAACTGGGTTAAATGGTGGTTCCATTCCAAGTTTTCTGACAAATCTCCACACTCCTATCTAGAGTGGTTCCACTAATTTGCAGTTCCACCAGCAATGTAAGGGCTCATCCATTCTCTCTCCTTTGTTTTCCTCCACTAATCTTAGGTAGTCCTGAGAGATTTGGAGAACAAGAACGAATTTGCCTAATTATGATCCCTGTGCATGGAGCCTTCAAGGTCATATAATAATAATTGGATTCTCTCCAGCCCTTCAGCTTTATCATGCCAGTCCAGAGGGTCCATTCCTGTCTGGCTCAGGAAGATCCTGTCAGTCACTGACTTCATCTGTATCCCGAGGACAGAAAACAAGTGTCAGATAGTGATTTGGCCGAGGAGGGGCACTGGATCCTCAGCCCTGGAGCCATGAGCCAGCAGAGGCCCAGCATCATCGGGTAAGTGTTGAGGGAGATGAGGGACGAGGGGCCAGCGTTGGAGGGCTGTCTCCTAAGCATCAGGACAAGCATGCAGTCGGTGCAGCCAGAGGAGAGGACAGAGGTGAGAATCAACTAGGCTGTGAGGACTGGGAAATATGGATTCTGGTTTGTGCTCAGGGTCTCAGAAATCTCATTAGATGTTTCTCCTTCCACCACAGTGGTTCTCCTGCACATAGATATATGTCAGACATGTACGTGTGTGTGTGTGTGTGTGTGTGTGTGTGTATGTGTGTCTGCTCAGAAGCACACATTATTAAATGTTTGTATTTAACATATGCAGTGGGTACTATTACCAGTAATAACAGGTAGTATTAATGGAACATTTACTGAGTGCCTGGTAATTTCAAAGCTGATATAAAGAGGAGCACCAAGCCCTTTACCTGCAGATATTTTGATAAAATTGATTTGGAGTGAAACTATCGAATCAATATAAAATAAAATATACACAGGTACATACATTGATAAACGAAACTTGAGATCCAATCAACTTAGGAGATTTTTACACATCTTGCTTACAAAATAGAAATGCAAAGAGGGTAAAAGGGATTGGTGATACTAAGGATAAGATGTAAGGGGAGGCACTGATCAAATTATGGTATGTACGTGCACAAGTGTGCAACAGAGAAGCTCAACATTCTGCATAATTAACATGCACAATGAAGACCTTACCTAGAACTCAGCTTTGAAATCATCTGGTCCAGAATTGGGGTTGTGGCTCAGTGGTAGAGCACTTGTCTAGAATGTGTGAGGCACTAGGTTTGACCTTCAGCTCCACATAAAAAATAAATGAATAAAATAAAGATACTTTGTCCATCTATAACTAAAATAAATTTAAAAAAACCCTAAAAACCATCTGGTCCTATTGCCTTCATAATGATAGTTGACAGTCCCCTTTTGATATGGTAATTTATCTATTTATGCATATTTGACACATTGAGTTTCATCTGAATCTCATTCAAAAAAATCATTCTTTCCAAAACCCTATTAAATGGATAATTATTATTTGTATTAGAGATGAGAAAACCGCATCATTGTTTGCACATAATTTCTGGTCTTTTGTTTTTGTGTGTTTTCCACAACGATATCATGGTTTAAGCTGACAGAAATAACATACTTGAGTTGTTTTCCAGTAGCTAAAATAGGGGACCTGCAGTCCACAAATCAGGCCTCAGTTATAAGGTCCTCATTGTGCATAGTAATTATGCAGAAAGGTAAGTGAAACCTATTAACTAGGCACAAAGAGGTTCCAACTTCCAAATTACATTTAACTTGGGGGCCCTTTCTTGGCTCTAACGTTTTCAAATGAAAATATCATGATCAGGAAAAATATAATGCAGCAGTGTTAATAGGTCATTGTAGAATAAGAATCAAGAGGAAATCCTCTGTCTTCCTTTGATGCATCATGATGGAATAATATACAAATAACTGGAAAATATTTAAAATTTTTAAAAAAGAGTTTCTTAACATTGCATTATCTTTATTAATTGACAGTTTAATTGTATACTAATGACACATTTGTGATTATGATATCTTATTACTATGTCACTTAACCAAACCTTCAACATGTGAATATCATCACAGCCAGGGTTAGTATTTTTTTACATCAAATAATTTTTAAAAAGCCAAAAATGTGGATAAGGCCTACATATTCACAAAAGAGGACACAGTGCATAAATGTCATGTATAACTCATTAACACAAAAAAATAATTTAAAAAAAGAATTATTAAAAAAAAACTCCTGGGAGATGACTGTTAAATAACAATGTTTTTTGATAACAAACTATTCAAATAACATAGTTGTATCAGGATATATAAATATTTTAAGGAAGGGAAATTTTTCCATTTTCATAGATAAAAAAGCATATTTGATTAATTTCTTACATGGCAATTATTCTTTTCCTACAATGGCAAAGTAATTCCTATTTTTCTACTTTTCTTTGAATAGTAGTTTCTATTTTTCTGGGAACATGGACTTATCTGTAATTCTCTTGGTCTTCTAACATTGCTTTGATCAGTATCACTAAAGTAAGTTTATATGTAGTGTGGTGAATAATAACAACCCAAAATGTTAAAACTCAGAAATATACCTGAAGATATATAGAAATCTATGTGAACACTTCAGTTGAGAGTTCTGAAATTCAAAATATGCACAGAGTGCTGGGTGCCTGATATTTCGTTTCTTTAATCTAATCATTATTTTAATGCCTTATTTTCCAATTCAAAAGGTGTCCAAAAAATGTGAAACCCCAAAACTTAACATCTATATCAGAATTCCTCCTCCTGAGCCTCTCAGAGGATCCAGACCTGCAGCCCCTCCTCTTTGGACTGTTCCTGTCCATGTACCTGGTCACAGTGCTTGGGAACCTGCTCATCATCCTGTTGGTCAGCTCTGACTCCCACCTCCACACCCCCATGTACTTCTTCCTCTCCAGCCTGTCCTTGGCTGACATCAGCTTCATCTCCACCACGGTCCCAAAGATGCTCATGAACATCCAAACTCACAGCAGAGCCATCTCCTACGTGGGTTGCCTGACACAGATGTGTACTTTTATGCTTTCCGGATGTATGGATGACATGCTTCTGAGTGTGATGGCCTATGACCGGTTTGTGGCCATCTGTCACCCCCTGAACTACCCCATCATCATGAACCCTCGTCTCTGTACCATCTTAGTTTTGATGTCATTATTAATTAGCCTTTTGGACTCCCAGATACACACTTTAATTGCATTACAGTTTGCCTATTTCAAGGATGTGGAAATTTCCAATTACTTCTGTCACCCTTCTCAAATTCTTAATCTTGCCTGTTTTGATTCCTTTAACAGAAACATAGTCATTTATTTTATTGGTGCCATATTTGGCTTTCTTCCTGTCTCGGGAATCCTTCTCTCTTACTCTAAGATATTATCATCAATTCCGAGGATCCCATCCTCGGGCGGGAAGTACAAAGCCTTCTCCACCTGTGGGTCTCACCTGGCAGTTGTTTGTCTATTTTATGGAGCAGGCATTGTAGAGTACCTTGGTTCAGTTATGTCACATTCTCCCAAAAACAGTGCAGTGGCATCAATGATGTACACTGTGGTCACCCCCATGCTGAACCCCTTCATCTACAGCCTGAGGAACAGGGACATTAAAAGTGCCCTGAGGAGGCTGCACAGCAGGACAGTGTAAACTCAGGACCTGTGGCATCCATGAGGGACAAAGGGGAAAAGAGAACAAAAGCATGCTGAATGCTGGTGAGCCCAGGGTCCTTGGTCACATTTTTTTCTTAATTCCTCAGCAAGCTTCTTAGTAGAATGGGTTTTGACACTTATGGGAAAGGTATGAAAGGGACTTTTTAAAAATGTGTTCAAAATTTCAGTGTGGAAATTGAAATACTTTGCGGAGTTCCATGATGGCGATAATTCTGCAACCGTGTTTGTAATTAATTCCACTGGGAATGTACAGTAAAAATGACAATTGTTTTATGTACTATTTTTTACCACAATCACCTATGGAAACATAATGAAATTGACTCTTTAAAAATAAACAAAAATAGTCAATTCAGATGCTTCCTCCTTAGTAGTAGAAGAGTCTAAAATCTGTGTGGATGGTCATTTACTCTTCTTTTTGCTCGGCTACTATTAGGAAGTCCCTAGAGACTTGCATAACATGGATCCATTTGGCTAATGATGAGCTCTGTGCATGGAGACTCCAATGTCCTATTATTGTCACTAATCAGCCTGTGCTCCTTGGCCTTTGTGTGATGGCTCTGGGCCACTGGGCTCCAACCCTGTGTTCTCCTCCCATGGTTGTCTGATTGGGAAGCCTCTATCTCCCACTGCATTCCTACCCTCCTGAGGACAGAGCCCAAGCTTTCATTAGACAGGGGGCCCAGAGGGACATGCATCCTTCATCCGTGTGCATGACCCAGTAGAGACAGCACCACTCAGGAAGGGCTGAGGGTGAGGATGCATGGGAAAGGACCATTAAGGGTGTTGCTTCCTCGTCCTCAGGACAGACAGCATTTGGGGAAGCCTGATGGTAGAACGGAAATACTCCGAGGAATGTAATCTATGAGGAATGTCAAGTTTTGGTGCCTGGCTGTGGTGGGAGTCTGGTAACGCCAGGCAAATTTCTGCTTTCCTTTGATGCTGATTCTCCTGTCTGTTGACACCTCACCCATGAGAGCAGAAGAGGGTCCCTCCAACCTGCCTCCTGGGCACTCCAAAAAGATAACGAAGGTGACGACACAGATGAAGTGGAATGACAGCCTTGAAACCTCATGCAGCCTTATTCAGGGCTTCTGATGCCACACCCCGAGCTCCGTGTCCTGTGGAGTCTGTTTCACTTTATCTCCACAGTGTTCCTTCAGATAGATTCGTAAATTGTAATCATCATATAGAAAGAGAAGGAGCCAAGTTTTGGTTTTTGGTTTTGGTTTTATGTTGAACATACCACATAGTTAGGTAGAGAATATGAAATCATGTTTGAATTTTCCTGCTGGATTAGAGAAACTGAGCATCGTATCAGAAAACTCCTGGCAGGTTGAGCCTTGACGAACAAGCCAGCTGTTTTCTTCCATGTCATTCTAGGAAGAGACCCTTGTTCACTGTGTTCTTCCTTTGTGAGGTTCCTGTAGACCTCAGGGGAGAGTGGTGGTTGTCACTTGCTGCCTCTGCTGTGGAAAGGATGACTTCAGGTGGAGGGCAAAGGTCACAGAGAGTGTGGGTGCAGAATAATTCATCCTGAGAATTCAGGTCTCTTTTGTCCCTAGTTCAGAATACCTTAGCAATCTCTGCATCCTCTTCCTTGTCAACAGTGCTGAATCTCAAGAGAGGACAGAAGCCAGTCGTGGTGGTGGTCCACACCTGTAATCCAAGCAGCTAGGGAGGCTGAGTCTGGATGATTGCAAGTTCAAAGCCAGTCCCAGCTACTAGTGAGCCCTAACCAAATTAGTGAGACCCTGTCTTAAATATATTAAAGAAGGAGAAGGAGAAGGAGAAGGAGAAGGAGAAGAAG